AAAGACTAGAAAAGCAGCTTTCAGGTTGCAAGTGTCAATCATTTATTCTCTATTTCAGGAATTTTGACCTTGTGGAGGTATTTCACATGTCTCTTCCCTCGAAGCCATTGAACATATCACCCAGGTCTAAATGGCCAGTGGCAGAAGCTATGGAGGCTGTGGAACTGGGAATTCTTTATGACCTTACCATTGTAAGGGCTCCCAGAACAGCCCGACCCACGGGGCTGCGACATTTAGATTACTTATCATTCAGGTGCCATCCTCTTCTCCTCTCCAAACCTCAATTTTATACTTAATAATAGAAAATTAATTTCTAAACCCCTCTATTCTGACTGTTAGCAAATACTCTAACTTTCAGATTTATTTAAACATGATAAAACGTTAAGCCTTTTATAAGATACAAGGAGAATTCAAGTAACATGCATGCTGACAAAACACTCTAGCAGCAGAATTACCCACCACCCACTAGTGTTAATTCAAACTTTTATAATAAGAACTCAAATGTCTAGTTTGTGTCAAAAATTAAAACCACATCTATAAAAAGACTTATGCTGTGTGTTTAACTTCTTAAGTAATATGGAGGAAATTATAGCACTAAAAAACAATTAAATATTTGACTATAAAGATATACTTTATCCTACCTGAAGTATTTATAACGGGTTAAAATCACATTTGGATAAATCAGTAACAATTCTTTATTTATTTGTAGTACTATTCACAGTGGCTATGCTGGGTTTCTCAGTTCAGCACCATTCTTTTGTTCACACAGCATTTAAAATGCCTGCTTTGAACCAGGCACCACACATGATGATCTTGGAGCTTTAAAAATGAATATTTAACAAGGACTGTTTTAGGGAACCCATGTCCAGGTCTTCACTGCATTTGGAAATGACTAAACTCTTTTACTAGTTAAGTAAAAACATTTATCAATCAGAAATACAAATTAATCTTCATATCAAGAGCCCAGCACTTGTCATTTTATCATATGGACTTTGGGGTTGGCTCATTCCACCAACTCAGCAAGGACAAAACTCAAGGTGGTAAACACCAGGCCACGTAGGCTCTTGTCCCATTCCCTAGACTTTCTCTGCCAAGTCCTCACATTCTGATTAACTTTTATCCACGTTAGTTAAAATTACCATGCTAAACCCTCATTTCTAGCTTCTTGTATTCCTGTGCTTTTAGTTCAATTCAGAAAAATTTCATCCTTCCAGGCCCGTACGGCCATGCTACCATGTGCCGAGTTTTCTAGATGCTACAGGTACAGAAATGAACAAGACAGACCAGGTGCTGCTAATGGAGCTTACGTTCCAATGGGGGTAAACAAAAAATAAACAAGTGAAAAAAATTAAAAGATGATTTCAGATAGTGAGATGAGCTTTGAAGACTATAGGGAAAGACAAGACGGTAGAGGTAGGCCAGGCTGTAGACAGAGGGGTCAGGGAAGGACACTGAGGGGTGCAGGGTGGTGAGAATGATGATGGGTGGCCATGGAAAATCTCGGAGAAGAGCATTCTAGGCGGGGGGGTGGGGGGAGCAGGTGCAAAGACCTGAAGGCAGGAGAGAGCAAGGTGCATTCCAGAAACACACCAGTGCCTTCTGTGGCTGGATCCTTGTAGCCACAGGGAGAGGGGGGCCTGCGCTGCACTCGCACCCTCCTCTCAGGTCACAGCCATTGATTACCCACGGTTCTTTGCATCGTTAAGCTCTTCCTCTCCACCAGTTCCTTCTCCTGTATTTCAAGACATCTTCAGCCTAAAGATATATTCTCCTTAACTCCTGCTGCTCTTTGGGACTCCACCTTCCTTTTAATATCAGATTTTCCAAAAACAATAGAGTATTCACGAGTCCCCACTTCTCACTACTCTCTCACTTATCTTTTGCAACCGTGTTTCTGTCCATACTATCACTTTCAGCGCTCTGTCCAAGATCATCAATGACTTCTCAGTTTCAAATCCTGTGACCTTACCTCTGCCCTCCTCCCTCCTGATTTCCTGTCACATTCTTGACAGTCCTCCTTTCTAAATATTCTCTTCCTTTATTTCCATGAAAGCACATTCTTTTCATATTCCTCTGACCTTGATGACCCTTCCCTGACTGTTTCCTCCCTGACTCTTAACTGAAGCTCCTCCTTCACGGCTGTTTTCGTTCCATTTCCCTCCTGAACAGGCCCTCTCTGTAGGTGACTCACACAGCTGCTTTTTCTGGCCCTGCCTTCTCTTATGATTACCTGTAAATGTTCCTTCAACAGCAAGTGGACATCACAGCTGGGTGTGGTGATGGCACTTCAAACTCAACATGTTTGTAACTGAATTCGTTTTTTTCTTATCCAAACCAGAAAGTTCTCCTACATTCCCAATGGCTTGAGGGTTGATTTATACTTACCCACTCTAACCAATGCCATCTCTGAGGTGGTTCTCAAGTGTGTCTCCTCTGGCCCATCGTCACTGCTGTACTCTCACTACCTTCCTTCACCTCCAGTGTGCCTTCAGGGGCCTCTCGCCTGGATTAATCTCCCACCAACTACTTCTACTGCTGGGGCACCCTGCCAACACTGGCAGATTTTCCTAATAATCACTTGGCTATTGACACTTCATTACCTTAAAATCTTCAGTAGCTTCTCACTCTCCCCCCAGTGAAGCTAAAATACCTATCACAGCTTTGGAGAATTTCAATGATCCCTAGCTGTCCTTTAGCCTCATCACCAGCCACTCTGCTTGGTGAACCCCTAAGCCATGTACATAGTCCTGTTTGCTCTTGCTGTTGTCATTCCTTTGGCTTCAAATACCATCTTCCACATCTACTTATGTTCAAGTGACATCTCTTCCAGTTAATCTTCCCCAATGGCCTTAGCAGAAAACAATTCTTCCCCAATTTACACTCTACCTCGCATTACAGTTGTGTGTGTGTGTGTGTGTGTCTTGCAGTCACTATGTCTTAGAATCTCCTTGAAGATAGTGCCTCTTTTTGCTTTTTTCTGTGTGTCCCCAGAGTGCCTGGGATAATGCCTTCCTGGGATATAGAAAACCCTCCAGAAATGTTTGCCAAGAATTACCCAGGATTTCTAATACTATTTTCTTACTACCTGTAAACTGTCAGTAACACATACAAACTTATACTTGAAAAATTTCATCTAGTAAAAAGAAATTTCATCTATTAAAATGTGAATGTATAATAAAAGAAAATCAAGGCCTAAGTTGTATGTTTTATGAATCTGGCTTTGCTTAAATTGAGCTGCACTTGTATCTGTGCCATTGGAGACTATCTACTCAGAAGTACTCTGAGTGGGTGGCAGAGATGACTAAAGGCAAGGTGAGGTGTGTGCAAGAGTTACCAGGAAGGTACATGTAACACCTTCGCTCTCCATTAGCTTCTCTTTTATTTGCTATTGTCAGAGGATTAAAGCTATTCCATAGAAGGAAATGTCCCTACTTCCTGAAACTGTATCTTTTAGCATCAAAATATCATTTCATACTGCTTTGCTGGAATTATCACTAACACCCTCAACTGCACCACGGTCCGAGTGGACCAACCTGTCCTTTTTATACTCTTCTTCCTACCAGTGAAAGGTAATCCCATTTGTCCACTGGCCCCAGCAAGTCCTTGGAACACTCTCGACAGCTCTCTCTCCTCTCTCTCCCATCTGAACCAACAAGACATCAGGTCAGCTCTACCTTCAGAACATTACCCAAATCTGATCCATTTCTACCACCTTCACTGCTGCTGCCCAAGGCCCAGGCCTCTATCATCTGTCTAAATTCTTGCAATAGCTTTTAAACTGGCCTCCCTACTTCCTTCTTTGCCCTCAATTCAGTCTGTTCTTAGCACTAGCTGGCAGACAGGTCCTTTCAAATGTGAGTCAGATCATGTCATTCCTCTGCTCTAAACCTGCCAAGCCAAGAGTCAAAGCAGAGCCCTTTCAAAGGCCTAGACGCATCTACAGGACCAGTCCACCTCTGAGGTTTCTTCCCTGACCTCTCCTCCTCCTCAGTCGTCATTTCCAGCCACCCTGGCCTCCTTACTGTTCCTCCAAGAAGCCTGGCTCCCTCCCGCCCCTTTAGAGACCTTTTCCTGTACATTTCTGGGTTCAGAGCTAAGCTGCAAAGGCCACAGTTGGCTGAAATCAGACTCTCAGATGAATTCAGCTACTATAACGTAAGCACCTTAGGATCCTGACCCCTGTAAAATCAGTGTAGTGCCTAGCATGGTGTTATACACACTATGAAGGTTTAAAATCATTTAGAGATGAAGAAGAGAGGGAAAAATGAAACAGAATTAGAAGATTCTTCAACTACACTTTTCAACTTCTTTATCCCAGGATATAGATTGGTTTTAAGAAACTCAAGGGACAATTTACACTTGTTATGCTTAAGAACAATTCACATTTACTCCCCAATTAAAATATTTACACCTTTCCAAAACATCAAAAGAAAGAGTATTTGAGAGTGTTCCTGGACCATAAGTCAACCCCAAATATGTAAACATTATATTGATATTTATTTCAAAAATATATAATTTTAAAGAAGCTTTTCTTAATCTGAAATTTCAATCTGGGAAAATATGTCACCATAAATGTTAAACTTATAAAAACTATAAACTTAGAAATAATTATTAGACAATCTAGAAAAGACCTGAAGCTTAGTCTTAACCTAAAAAAAGAGGGCTACAGCCCCAGTATTCCTAACCAGTATAATATTTGACAGTATTCTAACAGTGTTTTGTCACAATGTGTATTTAATTACTATAGAATGGGATATTCCATGCAATCCCTTCAATGAAAGTCAATGAGAAGGTTAGGAAACTCCCCGTGTTATCTTAGTGGTGCTTAGACATACAGCAAGACGCCGAAATTGCTCATTTGAACAGCTCATACATTTGGTTCTAATGTCTAATGTCCATAAGTCTACGCCAGCACCTCGTAGAGATGAAGTGCAAGGGCGGCAGCCGCGGCTTTCACACGTGGGTTTCCAAGCCCGTGGGAAGCTGAGGCGGTGCCTTACCTTTTCCAGCGTCAGCTCCGTCTCGGCCGCGTGCGTGCGCCTCAGCTCCGACCTCATCTTTTCGGACTCGGCCTTGAGCTTGCTGACCGCGGCCTCGTGGTCCCGGGCGGCCCTCTGCTTCTCCTCGTCCCGGAGCTGCCCGAGCTCCACCAGCTGCTGCTTGCGCTGCGCGTTCACGCTGACCAGCTCTTCTCGCAGCTTATGCACCTGGGCCTCCATGTCAGCGATCACCTTGTTTGGAAAAATGAAAAATGGGCAGAGGAAGGTCATAAAAGAATCGCGAAAGTCTAAAAAAGTACAAAAATGCCCACTTCCTGCCTTCCTTCTATGTTCCTCCAATCCCAGGCCATCCTAGCCCAGACATAAATACTGCCCAGAACATTTGACCACGTATTTAGTTTTACATATTTCAAACATCTATGTGAATGGATTAGTACATGTGTTATTCTGCAGCCTGCAAAGGTCCTCAACTTCAGGGGAAGGAGTAGGGGGCTGACCATGACACCGTGATTAAGTCAGAGACACTGGGACAGGGCTGAACAGTTCCAGATCAGTAGTGTTATCAACGCCCGCCTGAAGCTCAAACAAATGCCCTCTGCAGAGAAGCTGTTACAGTCTGATGTCTCCAAGTTTCCCATAAATCAAGATAAACCAAAAATGAGATCATATTTAAAAATTACTAAGCCCAGAAAACCCCCACCATTGACGAGAGTCAACACACACAGATCCCCCAGCAAGCACTTCAGATACGGGAATGATCAGGGAAAGAACACAAAATAAACCTGTGTTAATTATTTAAAGGAACAAAGGGAGGGGATCATAAAACAAATAAACCAGGAGAGGCTTAGCAGAAATTAACCAATTTGAGAAAGAACCAAATATGATTTCTGACAAGGAAATTTTTGTATAAAAGATGGAATAAGTGAGCTAAGGCAGTTTAACCAGCAGAAGTGAGAAGCGGTGGAACAGAAGAGGTCTATTAATAATAGGCTACACACAGCGCAGCACAGGACATCAGAAGCCAAGGCCTACAGGGAGGCGTGTGAGGCTAGAAGGCAAATCCGAAGGTCCAGCACACGGCTGGAGTTCCAGGCAAAGAGGACAGGTGGGGAGGTAGGGAAGCCAGGAAAATATAATGGCAGAATGTTCCAGAACTGAGGAAAGGCAAGAACCTATGGAATCCGGGGAGCAGAACACTATCAAGCAGAATAAAAATTTAAAAAAAGTAAAGAAAAGAAATATGTAGCCTTAACATGTTACTTACATGTTTTCAAAAGGCTAATTTTTAATAAAGTAGGCAACCAAATTAAGATATTGGTAACACAGAGCAACTTCTGGCAAGACTAATGATGAACCAGGAAAGAAAGCACAAATTAACAATATTAGGGATGAAAATAAACTCACAGAAGTATTAACTAGAAAAATAGTGTAATGACTATACATTAAAATAAAATTTTAATGAAATATTAAAATTTAAAAAAGGACATACTATGGATCCATCACAGATTAAAAAGATAAGACAGTACTGTAAAAATATTATGGCAATAATTGAAGAACCTGGGTGAAACAGATCCCTACAAAAATATAAATGTCAAAAGAGCTAAATAAATAGAAAAAGTAATTTAAAATATCCCCACAAAGATGGACACAGACAATAGTGCGGTGAAGGCAGGAGCCAGGTGGGGGCACAATCGGGGGAATGGAGGATACCTAATATTCTTAACAATAAAAAAATAAATTAAAAAATTTTAATAATCTTTAAAGTACAACACAGGGAATATAGTCAATAATACTGTAATATCTATGTATGGTTTCAGATGGGCACTACATTTATCAGGGTGATCATTGTAAGTTATATAAGTGTCTAATCACTGGGTTGTACACCGGAAACTAATATAATTTTGTACGCCAATTATAATTGAAAAATAAAAAATTATTTTAGAAAATATTCCCACAAAGTAAACACTAAACTCAGATAATTTTACAGGTGAGTTCTAAAAATCCTCCCAAGAGACAGATAATTCTAGTTTCTTACAAACTTTTCTGAAGAATAGAGAAAGATAAATACACCTTTAGAAGTTATAATATTGATAGCGAGGGGTGACAGAAATTGGAAGAGAGAAATTAGAGGCCGACTCACTCATGACACAGACATAAATTAGCAAACCAAGTAAAATAAAATGCAAAAATATGTAAACACTAAGTTGCAAAGAGTGTAAGGGCAGCTTACCATTTAAAATAAATGCCAATAAATATCAAATTTAAATGAAAAGGAAACTCTCTAGGCTATAAAAATCTACCAAAACTAACTAGAAAAACTGGAAAATATGAGTCATCCTATAACCATTAGAAAAATTTAAATAGTAGTCAAAAATCTTTCCAGAAATGAAATATCAAGGCCAGATGGCTTTATTGGCCAGTTTCACCAAGTACTTAAGAAACAAATAACTCACTCTGATATTAATTCTTTCAGAGAACAGAAAAGGGATTATTCAGCAACTCAATTTATGAGGCCAGCATAACATCAATTAAAAACCCTTTTCAAAAAAGAGAAATCTCAGGTCAACCTCAACAATGATTATCAAGTTGAATCCAGTGATAATACATCATGAAAGAATTGGGAAGGACATAATGTTAGAGTAATGTTAGAAAATAGCCTATAATATGATCTACTCCATTAAAGTATTAAAAGAAAAAAGCCTTAGGATTATCTCGATACACAGAAAATCATTTGGTAAATTCCATGACAGAACCTCCTAGCAAAATAGGGAACAGAACGCCCTGGCCAGTTTGGCTCAGTGGTTAGAGCGTCAGCCCATGGGCTGAAGGGTCTTGGGTTCGATTCCAGCCACGGGCATGTACCTCAGTTGCAGGCTCAATCCCCGGTCTCTCGGCGCCGTGCGGGAGGCAGCCAATTGATGTGTCTATCCCACATCGATGTTTCTCTCCCCCTCTCCTCCTCCTTCCCTCCATCTCTCTCTCCCCCCTCCGCTGTCCACTCTCTCTGAAAAGCAATGGAAAAAATATTCTTGGGTGAGGATTTAAAAAAAAACCCCAAAACACCCCTCCCCCCAAATAGGGAAAACAGAAGAGACCATTCTTAACCAGATAAAAGGTAGGTACCAAAAACTCAGCATTTTTATTCGCTCTTTATCATGAAGTTTTAAAATAGCCCTTTTAAAACCAGGAAGAAGAAAAGAATGCCTACTATCACTACTTATATTCTTAACTCTATGACCGAAAAATAAATACAAACAAAACCATCTGTAATCATGGATGTTACGACTGTCTATAGAGAAAATGCAAAACGAATATACAAATTATTAGAAATAATGAAGGAGTTTTAAAAGGGTTTGAATAAAAGGTTAATGTTAAAAATCATTTGTAATTTTTATACACTAGCAAAAAATTATACAACAGCATTTACAACTATAATAAATATAGGATTCTCAGAAATGTCTACCAAAAGATGTGCAAAACTCTATAAGCCTTTCTGAAACACACTTAAGATCTAAATAACTGAGAAATGTATCAGGGGGATGGAAAGTCTCTCCATCAGTTCTCCCCAAATTGACTGACAGCATCCATCAACGCAAGTTCAACTAAAGTCTCAACAAAAGCTTTCAAGAAACTTGACAAGATGAATCTACAGCGTATGGGGATGAACAGGGTACCATGATACTCCTAAAGAGAGACATTCCAGACCACACATTAGGGCCTAAAATAGTGTCACTACATTTAACACAGTGTAATATTATCACAGCAGCAATTTTCAACCTTTTTCATCTCGTGGCGCATAAACTCATTACTAAAATTCCGCAGCACACCCAAAAAATATATTATTTGCTGACCTGACCAAAAATAGGTATAATTATGATTGATTTACAAAAATAATAATAGTAATTACCTACCCTTTTTGCTCCAATGTGACTTTTTAAAAAATCAGGTGCCTCTGCTTACATATAAGGATTTGTGGTAGCAAGAATTAACCAATCCAACACAACCTTATTATGCGATGTGACCAATAAAGTGCAACTCTGTTATATGACCTATATATTTATGGTTCAAGACAGGGCATTCACACTGGATTGTTGTGTTGGCTGCTGTCATTTTTTTCATCTGACAATCTAAGGGAAAAGAGGTCAGTGCCCCTGACTAAATAGTCAGGTGCTGCATATTTTTAAAATTCTAGCAGCCCACTGGTTGAAAACTGCTGTCATAGAGAATAGAAAAACTAGAGTAGTGGAACATAACAGACAGCCTAAGTACTGGCTCACACTGGGCAGAGCTGGCATCACCGTTTAGTGGGTAAATGGTGAACCAGTCTAAAAATTGTGCTAAGACAGTATGTTATTCATATGAAAAAATGAAATCAGATCCCTACCTTACACAACAGACAAAAGTCCATTCTCTCCATTCCTAGGTATATATCCAAGAGAAATAAAACATATCTCTGTGTACGTGGGGATAGTGAGCCAATAATACCACTGGATTAAGGACAATGGTTGCCTCTGGGACAGGGATGCCAGGAGCATGGGAAAGGAAGGACCTATAGGTAGAGGCAACAGTTTTAATAATGTTCTAATGCAAACATTATGACAATTTTCTCTTTTGTTGAGGATATGTCCCTCAATTTCACTTATGTTTTTGAATACCACATTTTTAACTTGCTGCATCTAAGATGCAAACAGAACTTTCTTGACTCATAATGCCTGTGCGCTACCCAATGGAAAATGCTTTTATAAACCCCTTAACTGACTGCAAGATATTCAGAACGAAGAGCTAGCAGACTTACCTTTATGGTAACTCACAATTTTTTCTGAGATCCAACTTGCATGTTTGGTATATTTAAAGTACCTTTGTGCTTTCACTCTTGATCTACAGTTACTAGACTCAGGAATTAGAGATAAAGTCATGAGCTCACCTGTGACTCAGTGAAAACATTTCCTCCACAGCTTGTAAAGATGAGAAAGGGACTTACACACCCCAAATTCCAAAAGGATCGCTTAACTCTGGAAGGAATTCTATACACGAAATTAAAACGTGGCATCACTGATCACAATGACACTATTAAGTCACACGATGAAAAAGAGGACAGTTTAAACATATAGGAAAGGCAAGAAAAAACTTCATTTGGTGAAAAATTTTAGAACCATTAATACGCAGTTTTGGAACATACTACAAAGGACATAGATGAAGAGAGAAAAAATATTTTTACCTGCAAAGGAAGA